CTCCATGGGACTCCATGGGACTCCATGGGACTCCATGGGACTCCATGGGACTCCATACATAGGCGGAGTTCAAGCGCCCTTGCTATTATTTAAATCTACTGCTTTTCACGATTGATTACTAAAAACAAAGAAAAGAAATTATATAAGTGAAAATATGTGAACATCCGCGAAGATACGAAAATTATTCAATTAGTGTTTGCTCAAAAGAAGGGCTTTTATTACTATCAACATCTCATATATTTGCTTAAAAATCATGGGTAAAATGTAAAACAAATTAAGAAAAAAACAAATGTATAAACATAAAAATAATAAATTACGAAATAGACCAAGCATGTATGAATACAATAAGTGAATTATTAAGTTAGAAAATATCAATTTGATATAGAATCTTACTAAATAAGAGAATATTAGAGAAGTAATTCGAAAAGAACAAACAATATAATGTTTCACACGTAAATCTTATGTTCTTGTTCTTTTTGTTGATTCTCTTGTGTTACATGAAGATTCTATTGCTTGAACTTTTCTTTTTACTTGTCGTTTAGTTGCTAATGACGATTGTGTTATAGTAGTTCCATCATCATCTATTGATAAAGAGATAGAAGATGGCATAGATAAAGTAGAATTTGATTGAATGGTGATTGGTGGTGATATATTAGGTACGCGATTTGGTGATGATGTTTGCTGATATACATTTTCTGATATTGTAAATGGCTGTTGATTATTTGTTGATGGTGATGTTTGTTTAGATACATAATCTGATGCTGTAAATGATTGTTGATTATTTGTTGATGACGATAGTGTTGATTGAGGATTATTTTTCATTTCTTTTATTGTATTACATATGTTACCATTACGTGAATCTTGTAAATGACGGTAGAAGTTAGACATTTGAAATTTACCACGTCTTAATGTTAATGATAACCATTTTCCGCAACAGCATTTTATGTTACCTTTTAGCATATCATTTGCACCACTTAATATTGAAATAAAGTAATGTTGACCCTCAATTAAAGTAAAATGTGAAAAATTATATTTTGATTTATTACTTTCAAACCAGTTATTCAAAGTATCAATTATATATATTTTATGTTCATTAATTGATAAATTAAAAGATTTCGATGTCATTGTTTCTGATGACGTATTGGATGAAATAATTGAATTTGATTTTGTTATTGTTGATGATGCACCTGTAGTATTATCTAATGATGATAATAATTCATTACGTTTTGAAAATTTAACTAATTTTGCATCATCAACACATTTTTGTTTTAACAAATCAATAAGATATTCTATATTTCCTTTTACTCCAGGTTGTACAACAAATGTATTATCATCTAGCATATAACCATATTTTTTTTTAAATCATCAAGACTTTTACTCTTAACGTTCATAATTGCAAAAACATCGGCTGTCATCAACAATGACTTTACACAATTAATGCCTTGTATTTCAAGTAATTCAGCAGCAGCATCACCGGCTTCTTCTTTCACGAAATCAATAAACTTTTCATCACGTAATAACATTATATTAGATGGTAATACAGATGTATCAATAAGAACATATAATTTAAACATATTTGGTTATTAATTATCTATAAAAAAATTCTTTTCAGAGACGATGTGTGTGAAAAAAAAAAGAAAACATAATGTATATCATCTTGAAATGATATGATTCATGACTCAAGAATATAGTCAGCCAATATAGCTTCTAACGTTATGCTTTATATATTATCCAGATTATTATTGTATTGTTTTTAGCGACATTCCACCTTTTATTATAATGTTTTTTTTCCACAAAGTATCGATACATCATTTCACCAACAGAAGTTTATTAATTAGAATTTCTATAAAAAAGAATATCGTGAATATTAATCTCCAAACAGTTTCTAAACTGATATTATTATACTTCTAATTATGTTTTAAGATAAAATATAAAAAAGAAATTGTGCTTTTTCTTCCAATGGATGATACATTTACAGATAATCTTTTTTCGTTAAAAAATGAAGAATTCTATACATTTATTCAACAATTAGTTGGACAACAAATAGTAGATGTCTTGAAATTTCAATCAATAACATCTACACAATCTTTAATTCGAAATCCAGATATATTTGAAATATTTAATATGAAATGTTCAGAGCCTAGTTTCTTATTAATTAGAGAAAAATCATGTTTGCAGCTCGATGATGGTCAATTTATTGTAAAAATTGGATTAATAAATAATATAAATTATTTACTTGATTTCTTAAAACAACGGCAACAAAAAAAATAATAGAAGGTAGTTATGCTGATGCAAATCCTAGTTTATCTTTTGATTTTATTAACAAACATCCATTGTTAAAGAACTTGGTTCTTTATTATCAACGAATTGATAATGATAATAATAATAATGAAGATAAATATTGTTTTTTAAAAGAGTTTATTGATACAATAACTAGCAATTTAACAAAGTCTGGGACTGGTTTTCGATATAGCGACCAAATCAAGAACTTTGCTTTATCATTATATATACTAGGTGGAAAATTAACATATGAATTCATTCGATTAAATTTGCCAGGCTCTCTACCGAATTTAACTATGTTAAATAAATTAATTTCCAAGTCAGATTCAAAAATTAATGAAGGAGAATTACGATTTGATCAACTTCAAAAACATTTTGATCAACTTAATATTCAATATGCATTCGGCTCTGAAGATGCTACCGGTATAATTAAAAAAATAAAATATGACTCAACAACAAATACATTCAATGGGTTTTCTACACCACTTGATTGTGGAGTACCGATTAAAGAATATTATCAAACTGATTCATTTGATACATTGAGAATCTGGTTTAATTCAATTGAAAAAGCATCATTACTCAATGTACATATGGTTCAGCCTATTCCAGCTTCAAATCAAAGTATTATTCCAAGTCCTTTTCTACTATCAGCATATGGAATTGATAATACCGCTACAGCAAATGATATATTACAAAGATGGTGGTATATATTCAACCAGTGTTTACAAAGAAATATAAGAATTATTGGTTTTTCTACTGGTGAGAAAATAACTAAATACTGTTAATTCAAATCTTACAAAAGAGTAACTTTTTTTTATAGATGCTGATGCTAAATACGTACGCGCTATGAGATTAATGAGTGGTTTTTTCGGATCTCTCCCTAATTTTCAAGTTCATCGACATCCACAAGCTTTTGAAATAAAAACAACGTCACATTGGCCTTGGTTTTATTTACGTGAACAACAGGTTTTATTATTTTTTCAAGACGCAACACATTTGGTAACCAAATGGCGTAATCGTTTATGATCACCAACAGCCGAATTACACCTTGGTAATTAATTTATATCGATTAACCATTTACATGATATTATCAATAGTGACATTTATACTAAACTTGATCATGGATTAACAAAATCTGACATTAATCCTAAGGATCGTCAAAACTTTAGTTCCTGTTTAAAATTAACATCTACTGATCTATTCAAAATTTTAAATGATAATGTTAATACTTGAGGAACATTAATTTATCTTCAGATGTTAAAAATGATTGTAGTGGCCTACGTTGAGAAAAAAACAACTATTGCTGAACGTAAGTATATGCATTTATCATATCTGTTGTCTGAGAGCGAGAAACTCTTCAATCAAGAAACACCACATATAACAAGATTTTATTTTAGGACTTCGATCTGCTTGGTGTGTCGTGTTTTTTTTGTAGAATATGGTTTACATGGATTAGATTTAACACATTCAATTCAACGCAATCTACAGAAAACAAAAGCAGATATTTTATTACCAGACCAGCATACTTATCGGCTGAAATAAACGCACACAATTTATTATATTTAGTTTTACTTGTCAAACAAAAACAACTACCACCACATGTACTGTGTATTCATGCTTTTAGTTCACGAGCCTGTGAATCAATTTTTAGAAACACGCGAGCATTAAGTGGAATTTACTCAACTATAGTTAATTTTACAGTATATGATTTTTTACGACGTGCCCAAAGACTTTCATTATTGAATGATATTAAATGTAAGCAATCGAATGATGAATCAGTTAATAATTTGGCCTTTCCAGTTCATCACAAACATCAAAAGGATCGACAATCATCATGTACAGAAAGTCAAAATGAGATTGATCAAATAGATATTGAACAAATTATTACCAAGGCGTACCATGAAGCTATTGATATGCTCGATGGCTTAGAAATATTGAATGTGCTGAAAAACAAACGTGTTCTCAATTTAAAATTATTAAGTGAATATGTATTTAAACAATTAAATTCTAATTCAAAGATGTATGACTATTCATCTCAACGAAGTAATATGGATGATGGTGAATTTGAAATAGATGATGATGATGATGATGATGATAATGAAACAACAGATGATCTTAACATGGATGATGATAATAATGATAGTTTTTCCTTGAATGCTGATTACACTGATGAAGACGAACAAGAAGATACTGATAATTCAATAAATACCACAAAAAATGAGTTTGCTGGAATAAAGATCTGCAGTAAGGTTGAATCTGACACAGAACATTGTTATTTTAAAGTTACAATTAATGATGATACAAAATATTTACATAAACAAACTGCTTGTTGGTTATTAACTGAAGAAAAAAGTAAACTATCAAACGACCGGCTACTTCGAGTACAACAGGCTAATAAAAATAAATAAATGTTTTTTCTCTTGTTTAACACTTTGTTTGATTTTATTATTAAATAAACGATATTCTGTTTAGTTTAAAGTTTTCGAATAAATGAATGTGCTGAATGCAGAGAAGAGATAGATGTTGTACGTTCATTTTCAAATCAAGACTAACAACTATATTATTTGATTTTACAATTGATAGAAAAATCAAGACACGTCAATATCAAACCTTTCCTATAATAGATTTCTCCAGATTTGACGAGAATTTCACGGGACTCCGAGGGACTCCAAAGGACTCCGATGGACTCCGAGGGACTCCGAGGGACTCCGATGAACTTCAAAGGACTCCGATGGACTCCGATGACTCCAATGGACTCCAAGGGGCTGGAGTCAGTTGTTTCCCCCTTGATCCGAAGCCCATTTTTTTGGCCGAGATTTCATTGGTCAGGAATCGGCGAATCAGAAATGAGCTTTTTTATTTTAAGACTTTTGGCCATTTTGATCAAACTTTGCTATAGGTTATGGAGGGCCCTGAATCCGAATCCGAAGCAAGGGGGAAACAACTAACTCCGGGACTCCGGGACTCCATGGGACTTCATGGGACTCCATGGGACTCCATGGGACTCCATGGGACTCCATGGGACTCCATGGG